GAGGCGGCGTGCCGGCAGGAAGGGCAGGCCTGGCAGCCGTCCCGGTACCCCGGGCATGTCCCCGCGGGGCAGGGCAGCGAGCATCTCACCTCCACGGAAGGGTAGGGCGAGAGCTGAGCTCTCCTTCCAGCCCTACACTCCCTGGCACCGGGAAGGGAGTCTGGCTGCGATGCCTCTGGAGAGTCCTGCTTCTGCATGGCTCCTTCACACCTTCCCAGCGTGGGCTGTGGGTCCCCCCACGGGCCACACGCTGGCCCTGGGGCAGGTATCAATCTCTAGCTGAGGGTAAGTGCAAGTTTCACTATGTTCTAGGGGATGTTTGGAGTTAGATACAAGTGGTGCAACTCACCCTGCTGATATTTCAAAAGAAAACGTCAGGTCCTACAGGATATCATATTGTTTAAACACACACAGAGCATTTTAATAATTGGTTTCTCTAGATTGTTATTTGTTTTAAGTGATTTTCACTTGGATTTTCCAATAATGCAAGTGTTCCCTGTTACCTTTAGACATAATATCCATCAGAGAAAGCTGTAGATGGGGACCAGCTGCCCTGAAGCAGTGAGCATTGTGTTTTTGATAGCTTTATACCAACCCCAGCAATTTATTCCAGAGTTCAAATCTGGCTGCCTTGGCATCCTTTATGGAACTAATGCAAATCAGATGTTAATATTTCCAAAAGGAGCTCTAGTGTTCAAGGGGAATGGATGGATATTTGGTCACATTGGCTTCACTGGACAACATGAAAGGAGATCAATGTGTGATCATGATTTGCAATCCTTATTTTTGACTGATGTGGGCAACGTCTTTAGAGTTGTTTCAGAGAAGGACATTTTCACAAACCCACACTGGACCTCCCCCAGACTTCTAGAGACAGGTAGCTTGTTTCAGCCAAGTTCATGCCATGCAGAAGCTCTTTTTTTTTTGTGTTGACTGTAAAGACATTCCTTTAAACTTTCAGTTAGTTCTTTTGGAGCCCATCTCAGATGCTTTGATCATGTGTGTTAGCATGTCCTCCACTACCTGGTAATACATGGACTTCTGGGGAAATGTGATTTTCTAGTCTGACAGTCTCCTGATTGCCCTGGGTTCTTCCAGTGATACCTTCCATAGAGTAAATGCAGTTTTGCCCTATCAGCTTAGGGGAGGTGGGTAAAGCAGCAGCTTCTAGATGGTTCTTCTCTGTTCTATAAACATTGTCTTTTTGCTTTAGATAGCCACTGTTTGTAACATTGTACTTGGGACTCACATTTCTGGGTGGACTTGAATCATAAAGCAGCTGACCTTCATCATCAGTGTCAGCATCTATGTATTTGTGTATACCAGCATCATGGAAGTTGAAAGCTATGGCTGACTGCATCTCTGGTGACTTTGGGGGTGTTCTTGCACTTGCAGTTGTGTAGATCGAGGTTTCTGGGCTCATGAGAGATCTGTCAGAGAGTAAGGAAGTATCTGTGGCAGCAGCAGCAGCTCCCCGGCTCTTGAGAGAGTCTGGATATATTCTCAGTACATTTGATGCTGGTACTAATGTGCTGGTGTCCTCTTCCATGAAGTTGACTTTTAGAGATCTTAGTTTTAAAGGGTTACTGGCCTTTACAGAGCTTTTGGGACTTTCTATGAGAAAAGCAGAATGGTGGCTGCTTTCAGAGCTTGGATTCATGTCCACAAATCTGGCACTGCTCCCCTCTGGCCTGCTCTGCTCCTGAATCACATTAATGCCACCTTTGCAGGGAATGGTAGCAAGCGGGCTGTGGGAAAACCTCCCGGAGTCAGGGAACTCTGCCGCACAACTGATGAAGCTGTCAATGCTAGACATGCTCCTCATGTCAATGATCCCATCAGTGCGAGTCGTCAGCAAGGGCACCATAGGGCCAGGAAGGGTTTCCATTTCTAGCTCTTCCTTTTGCTTTCCAGCTTGACTCGAGTCCTTAGTATTAAGGTTTGGTTGGGACTGCGTCTTTGCCATTTTGTTATACATGTCCTCTAGCTGTTGGACATTCAGGTGCTGGGGACTTGAAGATGACCTGGCTTTTTCTGGAGATCCTTGTTCCTTAGTTTCAAAAGATTTACTAGAGCTAGTTTCAGAGAGCGTTCTCTTGGTCCATTTCCATTTGCTGGGAGATAAATGATTGTCCTGAACTTTGTCCTTTTTGGCTATGCTTTCTCCATTCTTTTCAACCACAATGTCCATGAGTTCTATACTACGGGCAAACGCATCCTTCATATTCATGGAAACAATACTACCATTCCTTTTTGCTCTTTCAAGAGCTTCCCTGCGCTTAATGGCTTTCTCCTGCCTCTTCTGCTCCTTGTAGAACTCAGAGAAGTTATTGACAATAATTGGGATGGGAAGAGCAATCACCAGCACTCCAGCAATGCAACACAGTCCTCCTACTATTTTACCTAAAAGTGTTTTGGGGTAGATGTCTCCATAGCCTACTGTTGTCATGGTGATTGTTGCCCACCAGAAAGAAGCTGGGATGCTCTTGAATTTTGTATCATCCTCGTCCTTTTCTGCAAAAAACACTAAACTGGAAAAGATCATAATGCCCATGGCCAAAAACAAGATGAGTAATCCAAGCTCATTGTAACTCCTCCTCAGTGTAAACCCCAAGGACTGTAAACCCGTTGAGTGCCGGGCAAGCTTTAGAATCCGAAGTATCCTCATAATCCGAAATATTTGGACCACTCGTCGTACATTTTGGAACTGAAGTACACTTTTATTGGATTCTGTGAGGAAGATAGTGACATAGTACGGTAAGATAGCTAGCAAATCAATTGCATTCAGTGGGCCTTTGAAAAACTTCCATTTCTTAGGTGAGGATAGGAACCGCAAGAGGTATTCCATTGTAAACCATGCAATGCACACTGCTTCCACGTGGGCAAGTTGGGGATTATCTGTGGTCTGCCCAAATTCATCCACGCCTTGTAGTTCAGGAAGTGTGTTAAGGGACAAGGCAATTGTAGATAGTACAATAAACATGATGGAAATGATTGCCAAAATCTGGAAAGGAAAGAGAAAACAGTGAGTTCATCTCAGAATATATTATGCTATCTGTCATTGCCATTAACACATGGCTGTATTTCCACTTACACATTTCAAGACTAGTTTTGTTCTTAGTACACACAAGTCAGATAACTAATGTATCCTGAGGTGATTTTATTTCGGAAAGTGCTTTAGTTGTGTCAGATACATAAAGGACATAAAGCATCTACTTCAACTCATGTGCCTTCATCTCTGTGCAGTCAAGGGAAGTGTACCAAGCAGCCAGGATGCCAGGAGGGCTGCGAAGCAGTTCACAGCAGGAGCTTTTGATTAGCTACTAATTAGGTGCCCAACAAAGCCCATCTGGACAACAGGCTCTGAAATCTAAGCAAGAAGGAATGCAATTGTGAACGCAAGATTTTATCAGAGCAATGTCCTCCATTTAATGCACGGGTATGCCTGTAATTTTGGGTGCCTATGGCTAATTGCAGAGATGTGTGTACAGTACTACATATATGTGTAAACTCTTCTTTTAACGACTCATTTAATTTGAAACTCAACAGGTGTGAAATACGTGAAAACTTCACTAAGCTTTCTAAAACATTTTGAGCTGCTCTGCATGTGACTGACTGGCCATCCTAGCTCCTCATTGCAACCTGAGAAAGACCAAACTCATCCAGGCAAGCCAGACTGCGTAACACTGAGACAGTCAGGGCAGGGCAAGTACAGCTGCTGGAGAGCTCGTCCATTATCAAAAACTAGCTCTTGGGCTAAAGAGTGCAATGAGAGGAGAAGGGTCTGCTGTGAGCAGCCCCTCTAAAAACACACATAAATCCAGTCAGATCCTGGGCCACCAACTCTACACAGATCTGTAAAACATGAAGTGCTAGATTAGCGTATATACATCTGTCCTTCCATACCTGTAGACATTAGTGCTGTACTTCCCAGTTTTCTCTAATTACGTTTTCTTTTAAAGTAATTTTGGGGAGGTTTTAGAGCTGACACATAATTTGAGGGTTGCTTTTTTTTTCTACTAGTGAATTCTTTCTCTAGTTTGTTAATTGGGTGGGACTGTATCTAGTTTCTTAGGTAACTGCCAAAATACTGCAACAATTTCAAAATACACGTACATGTGACTAATGTTTTATGTATTAATCTCAGTGTAAGCTGGTTCCTTATGCTCGCTTTTCTCCTGCTTGATAGAAAAGCAGCATGAAATCAATTGCAACGTATGTGCCCGATGACTAGATCCACAATATTAAGCAATGAATTAAAAAACATATGACAAGAGTTCTGCATCATGAATTGCAAATCTGACACACTCCTTCCTTACCAATATAACTAGATTCTAGGTTTCCTCACAGTGACCTTACTCAGCCAGCCTCGCAATACCAGAGTATCCACAGTTACCACTTGGGGCACTGGAGAACAAATTCTTTCAGGATTTCTCTTCAGCCAAGCCCGGAACAGACATCCCAACAGTCAGGAAATATCAGGCTTCTGAATATAAACAGTCCCTACAATGGAACAAGCCTTGCTGCAGTAGGAGAAACATGCAGATCCAATACAGTTCAGAAACACTGTGGTCTTCTCAAGAGGACCCCTACTTCTTCTCCAAAGCTGAAAAGCAGAAACGGTCTACAAAGTCTGGAAGCTTCACTTGAATTAAATTCATGTGCCAAGCTTAAGTTATGGCTTTAGAAGAAAAGGCATGTATCTTCAGAAAATCCAAAGAGTTTCAATTTTGAAATTTTGATTTCAAAAAGTGCATTAAAATCCACTTGCTGTTAAGAAAACACCTTTTTCCAAGTCGATGTAATAAAATCGTTTACCTTTTAACTCACTAAAATGCACTATATAACTTCGATATGTACGTGACACTGCAGACATAGTAATTTAATCTGAAGATTGAGATTTGACTAGAAACAAAAATTATCTCCATTAAACACTCTGGTTTCACTGTCTAAATTGGATCAAATGGAAGAAGTGAATGGTGTAAATAGCCTGCTGTGCAATGCTTGAGCACTGGGAATTTTAGAATAGCCTCACTTCCAGTTACTAAATTGTTGCCAGGACAGATGCTGGGAAGTTTTTCCTTTATAAACAGGTTGCATAGAAGAATGTTAGTTGTTAGCTGTGCTGTGCACCCTCACAGTGCTAGCGAGCCTTTCCCCTCCTCCTTGCTCCCTTCTCCTTCCATAAATTTGCTGCTGGAATACAAACAACCCCACAACAACTTGTGCCATGGGGCATGTGGCTTTTTGAGAGACTTCCCAGGTGAATGAGCCAAAGCAGCTATGGGAAAGAATTGGGAGTTGCAAAAGAGTAAGAAGAAGAACCAAGGGATAGAGAGAAGCAGAGTGGGACACAGGGAAAAGTGCTTGAACTGATGGTTTCAGACTCAGGAGAATGAAATTTAAGTCAAGTGTCTTATGGTGAAATGGGAAGGAATTTAGATAACTACTCCTGCATTGTTGTTCATTTCAAAAGACCATCTCCCAGAGATCAGGTGATACCCCTCAGAAGCTCGGAACATGGTTTCCTTTCCTAGAAGGCTCTTCTAGTGTTCTTGCCATCATTTCATTGTTTACCACCCAACATTTCTGAAGGTGTTTGGGATATTTTCAACGGTAATTTCAATTCTTTTGCGTGGTTTTATCTCTGCCCACTATACACAGAAGGGTTTCTCTGTAGACTTAGATGTACCTCATGTGTTTTATCTCCTTCACTTTCAGTGTAAATATTAAACACTCCATCTTTATTCAGTAGATGGCATCCAGCAGCAGTAATTGGTGTCAAACCTTCTGTTTCCTTTGATATACCTTCCTGCTTTGAAGATCAAGGCAATGCCGGATGAACATAAATTTGAAAACTAGGAGATCTGAGGGTAAAATCTGGTTTTGGTTTAGCAGGTTTAGCCGTGGAGCTAAGCAATAAACAGAAAGAGACATTTATCATTTCTCCTGCAAGTTGCAGCAAGATGTCACTTCTGCTTCTAAGACATAGATTTTTTCCCTTATTGATCTACTGCAATCATACATCTTCAGGAATCTTGTCAGGCTAAGAAAAACTTCTAAGTTTTATACCTGACTGTCCTCAGGTATTGAAAGCAATTTGAAGTTGGAAAATACAAAAAACTGGGAGATGAAATATCTCCAGCAGGATTTAGAGGATCCTTCTTCTCTAAAGGAGATGCTACCGTGTCCTGATAGCATCCACCATCCAGCAAAAAACACCCGAAGAGCAGTTGTCCACAGAAAACTGGATCCAGCTGCTGCTGTCAGGCATTAGCACTGCATTCAGCTGTGAATCTATCCCAATACAGTGCTCTATCCCAATGTATTTACTGTCTGGGATTTCACATTATATAAATCACTGTCTGTCTGTTTAACAAGGTTTCCTATCTTGGCCATACTGAAACTCCAGCTTGGCAGCTTTTGTATTTGCCACTGACACTAATGAGACAGAAAGATGAAGAAAAGACATTTATACCACCAAGAATGCCTCTAGAGATGCTCTGTGTGTCACACAACCTTTTCATTTGATTCCTGGCCTTTTCTCCTTTCCTTCCTTTTCCAGGTTTACTTCTGTTTAACGAGAAAAGCCAATGCGACAAAATTGGACTTGAGCAGGAGCGATCCCTCTGCGGTGAATGAGGCTCCAGCTGCTAAGGCAAGCAGTCTCTGGAAAAAAGTGCCTGTTGTCCCTGCTCCAGAGCAGTTGCTCTGGACCCAAAACCTTGCTGCTGCATCGGCTGCTAACTGCTGCTTGAAATAGAAACAAGGATGGGGAGAGGATGCTCCATGTCTGCAATAGGTCCTACAAAACTTATAGCTGAAACAATGGAAAAGCTTGCAGACTAAAATTTGGAGGCACAAAAGGCTGAAATAACTAGCCTGAGGACCTGCTATATCAGTGATCGAGGCAAGTGAGGGAATCCATGTACTTCTGATGCCACATCCATAAGAGCTGTTCTCCAGTGTCCTTGCATGGGCTTCACTGGGACTAAATGACAGGAGCCCTGACAGACCAGGTCTTACTGGGCATGTATCCACAACAGAGCATCACAGACATCCTTAAGCCACTGATAAACTGACAGGTTTTAAGACTAGTTGCACAACTTTCAGACCATTTCTGCCAACAGAATGCATGGGAGAAGCTGTGTAGTTCCCTTCTTTTTGCTTCTGTATTTACTCTTATATTTCACCTGGAGCAGTGCACCATATATTGTGAAATTCCCCATCAGGCACTTGGTGACTTGCAGAGGGTGTTGGATGGTCTCCTGATGACAGCACTGGCTTGTAGTGCAAGTCTCAGTATGTATAGGCAGGATTCCAGAAAAAGATTTCTCCTCTACTAAATTGACTGTTCCACAAAGATTTTTATTGAGTGAATCTCTGGATTGCTGCTGAGGTTCTTTTGTGAAAGCTGAATAAGCCAAGGACAGGCAGGGCAAGGTTTTTGAATGAATTTAAAGCAGTTGCCTTCAAGTGATTAGCATGATTGTACACACATGATGGTTATTACACATGCAAATGAGACAAGCAAGCTGATTATGTGCGTAAGTCCGTGTGCAACTGCTGCTTTCTGAGGCACGATGGATGTGCCATGTTTGCAAGCCACTAATCCCCACCTCCTCCAAAATACCCCCCAAAATGAGGCAGGCAACCTCCACCGAACATCTTTCAGGAGATACCCACTTGCACCTGGCCTGATCCTGCTTGCTGGGTGAGAGAGGCCCCAGGGATTCATCCTTTGTGTTGGATGCCTGTGCTCATACCTGGGGGGAAACAGGGCTCCCACAAAGATACCAGTCTGTTCAGAAATTTCCCATCATGTTGAGCTTCTGGTAGCAGCAGCTTGTGGGCAGCAAAACTGTGTATGCCACTCCCCAGACAGCGCAGAGCAGGGGAAGTTTTAGGCAGCAGGAACTAACATTTAGGTTTGGTGATATTTATTGCTTGATTGTCTGATCTTTGCACTGTTAAAGACCTTAACTAAGGTCAAGGCTTAAGCCC